ATTTAGTGATTTACGTGTTTAATTTAAGCTTCGATATTTAATAACAAAATAATTCATATATTATGCGTTGAATTATAAAGTAAACTTTATTTTTTTATGGTTTATCTTACATTTAAGATCCCAATATAATGAACTCAAAATATGTTTTAAACTTTTCTGTTGAAGTTTTATCTCCAGATTTGACTAAAATCTAGTTATACGTAAGTCTGGATCGCATACCAGTGTAATCACTAGGTACAGACTGCACTTCCAAGGATCGATTCCTCGAAGTGGCGTGTGCATTTTCTCGTCGCCGCTACCAGCATCACTCCGTTGTACACACAGCCATTCTGACTAAAGGATAATGCTAGCAAGATCGTGAATTTGACAGCTCACCTCCGCTTAGTAGAGGTCGCACGTGCAGTGCTGACATCTACATGCGCGATACGTAAGCCGAGAGAGGGGAGTTCAGTAGTAGTAGGGGTAGCACAGACTCAGCTGCGGTGACGCACCGAACTAAACACAGCTTGAGCTACAAAACAACTGAAGGTTACACCCCTCTAGCGCGTGCTTCGGACGAGTCCATCTCATACGACCAAAATCAGTCCTTTGCGCAAGTACCAGCATTTCTCGCTCGGCCTCTACTCACAACAAAGTTTATTCTTCTTGTAATACAAGGGCACAATAATATTACACCATCAGGTCCTTCATAAGTTGAGGAAATTCGGTATATAAAGGGATATTAAACTAAGCTGAATACTTAACGGTCTCAATAACAATTCTTAGCTTCAGAAATCATCAGATGTTTACCCTGTCGTCAGCGGAAAGGAATTTTGTGACTATTCTGCAGAGCAAAGCGAAGATAGTCGAACTATAGATTCGCTGAGACGCAAGAGGTCGTATATTCTTATCTCCCATTCATCACGAGGAAGGCTCCCGAACGACTGTAAGGGACCGGATGTATTCATTCAATCAGGATGGGACACTCCTGTTCTCTAATATGGTAGAGTGGATTGGAATTCTAAAGATACAAATCTCCTTGGTTCATGTGGTTGGAATTAATTGATGTTTAGACTTAATACTTTGCGACCAAAGTTTAATACATGTAAAAGACTAGCTTTGATATTTGATTACCTCCAGATATTCTCATCACTATCGTGCAATGGAAGTTTTAGGACCGAAGCTGTGTGTATGAGTAATTTAAAATATCCTCGTAGGCCTCCATATGTTATCGGTCGTACTAATTAAATGTTGGCCGAAATCTATCTGAAAATTGTCGACACATCTAATTCAACATCTTACTTATTTATACAATAATTTTCAGTTGGTGCAAATATAATTTAACTGTCGATCTGGAAGAAATTTTACTAAGTAGGCGTACGAGAAACAGAGTTCTTCAGCTAGTCAAGAAACTGACCACCTTTCTGAAATATTCACAAGAGCCACGGGTTCGTAACCTGTACAAGATAAATACAGTTTACATCGTCGCACACAATTTTTAAGATCTATGTTAATATTGTGGTATACGAGGTGCGATCGGAAAGTTTCAAGACTGCGCGTATAAAAACCCGTACACTTATCTCAGGTGTTAAATTCATCCATCACCTTCGAAGTAGTTCCCCTGGGAGAAAACACAACGATCCCAGCGCCGCTGCCAAGCCTGGAAGCATCCCTGGAAATCTTTCTTTGTCAGCCTGTCAAGCACCATCTGCGATTCTGCCTGAATCTCTTCTATCGTCTCAAATCTCCTTTCCTTTAGCTGAATTTTCATCTTTGGGAAGAGGAAGAAGTCACACGGAGCTTAGAAAGGAAGTTGAAGTCGGTTCTTGCAAGATCTTTGAGCTCCTGACAAACGAGAAGTCGATTCTGCTTCTGGTCCTCAGACAGGATGCGTCGCATGTGGAGTTCTTCCTTTAGAATCAGCTAACAGGTCCCATAGCCTATCCCAACAATGTCGCACAAGTCGGTGATGGTACGACGTCGATCTTCGTAACAGTTTCGGGCGTTGTGCTCGAAGATGGTCGGCCAGAACGCTCGTCATCATCGACAGAGGTTCGGCCATTTTTAAAACGTGAATGCCACACAAAAGTTTGTGCACGACCCATTGCGGACTCCCCAAATGCTTGCTGTAGCATTTCATAGGTTTCCGTAGCCGTTTAGGCGAGTCTTTGGCAA